TTGTCAAATATACGTGCATTACAATGTATGTCTCACAGGTTTGAACAAGCATTACATGTATGAAAATCATATATAACGTATGAGCACCAATGAGCAGGGATGCGTACCCAAAGTTAGCTAAATATCTAAATTTTAAACGGTCGTGAATGAAAAAAATACTTGCATGGTTCCAATTCACAAGGATTTTAAATCCTTGCATCTCACGAAAACGTAATTAATGTTTTACAATAATCATAACATAATTTAATTACTATGTTAATTATCTTATACTGTTTTAGTATGGATTTATAAGTGATGATAAGTCTCTGCTTATATTTTGTATAGCAATATATTCATATAGTGGAATGCTAGACTTTAAGAAGAGATTGATGTGATAAATAAAATATCCATCCGTAAATACTTGACGTTTGTAATTATTGATATTATATTCTAAATTTTCGGAAACAAATCATTAACAGGAATGTATGTTAATTATGAAATTTCAATTATTTTTGTTTGTTTGTTTGTTTTAATAGTTCAACCTTATAGCATCTTAAATATTTGCACTATGGTACGATTTTGAAAATTGCATTCATTGTGTTGACCAGCTAGCTATACTACACGTCTTGGTTCATTCACATTATACAGCACCCTGTTCACATGCACATGTTCACATGCACACTATCGGTTTGCGTTCACACAAATTCCCGATTAAATGGCAATGAACTCGGAGTCAAAACACTTGAGGTAGGAAGTTTGACATCCGAATTCAACTATTAGATTAATATATGTGATGACGCAAATGCGTTTTCTTATCCGGAGTATCAGTGCGTATGCTTTCTATTTACTATTTCTTACTCAAAAATACCACGTACATGCATATGAATATTAATTTCACTCGAGAGTGTGAATTTTCGCTTTTCTTATCTAAATTCAGGACACGGAAGTAAGAGCTTGACATGTGACGTTCAAGCACGGTCATCATTACTCACGGTATTCTGACCTCTAGCTGTTTCTCTTTTCTTTTCTTTTTTGAGTCACTGTCCTATTATAAACTTTGACATTTTCGAAATGCTATGGATTTTCTACCCCAGGAATAGATTACTTTAGATGTATTCGGCAAAGCCTTTGTTTCGAAATTTTGGGTCCTGAATTCCTTTCAACTTCGTACTTTATTTGGCCTTTTAACTTTTTTATTCGAATGACACTGATGATTCTTTGTATACTTAACTCGCATCTGCATTTCGTACAACATTGTAATCCTGGTATCTTTTTATATCTACATGTTCATATCTTTTTATATCAATTGGGTTTGAGAGTATGTTCAGGTATTCATAAAACTTCTGAAAACAAGATATTCTTCAAAACCAAGTTTTCCTTTAGAATATTTGGATTTATTTAAGTAAAATCAGGAAAACCTTAAAATTTGAGATGTTTTATGAGACCAAAATAAGTCTCTATATAAGAGGTATCAATGAAGCTGGTGTGTTACTCTCAAGAATACGAACCCTTTTTATAAGTTACATGCCACAGGGTTTCACTTCACATGGAAATTGGACTTTAAATTTATCTATACAACATCTACCATGAGTACAGACAGCTTCAATAACGAGTTGACAATAATTGAAGGCATCCAGGAAACACAATATGAAGATATGATAGATAAAATAAATGCTTCCAGATTGTAAAGCAAACCGTGAGTGCTTAAATTTATATTGTGATTGCATTAGATATCCGGTTTGTAGAAACTTAGATTTGCAAAAGGGTTATGAAAAAATGATGTACACTCCCAAGTAATAAATAAAATAGTCGACCCTAAAATGTATATTCAAATAGTAGCTGTATATATATACACTTTTCTATTCACAGCTATCCAACATCGCTTTCAACTGACTTATGCAAGAATCTACACACAATTACATATTTTTAATAAAGGTGTTTTAACATCGTCATTATCTTATTCTATTCACAGTCAATTATTTCAATTCAAAAGCAAACAAAAATTCAGCAACATTTTTTTGGTGACCAGTCAGCGGTCTTGGGCACGTATTGCTTTTTTTTTTTTAAGAAAGCAACTTGTTTCTAACATTTGCAATGTTTAAATTTTTCTGAATAAATATGTTTCCATATCCATTTTTTCTGACAAAAAAAGCTCTACACGCATTTTTAGATGAAAAAAAAAGAATTTAATCAAACTTTCATTAGAATTGAGAAAGTATAGTCAGTTAAATTCAAAAAGGGTGCGGTACTCGCATAAAATATGGTATAATTGTTTTCCCTAAACCAATGACATTTTCAAATCACAGAAAAATAATCAGTAAGCTGGGAAATTTCAAAAAGAATGATTTTCGATTTTTGTACTGGTTTCTTTTTATTTGATACACTGTCAATACCTAACCCTTTTCCATAGTTAGACCAAGATAATAGAAACTCTATAAAATACACACCTACAATATAATTAAAAATTAATTTGCAGTTTCCGTTAAGTACACATTTTCACGCCACAAAACAGACACTGAACGAGCCCATCCTATTTGTTTCAAGAGTGAGATAGTAGGTAAAGATCGGTAACATGTGCCAGTTCTAAGATGCTTGCAAATTTTTCAAAACTCAGATTTCATAAAGAATTTTGCATGATTGGTCGGATTGGTTAGACAAGCTTGCAAATATATACATATTATCATTTGTCTTTTAGCCGGATATTCTACGCACTGTAAAGTAAAAGCTTAGATATGTCTTAATGAAAAATTGCAATTTTCAAGTTTATAACTTGCTGCCATTATATCTTATAATTAAATCTAATAAGGTAGTAAAATACCGAGAGAAAAAAAATCTGTTTGACACCATCTAAAAACATTTTAAGACCATTTGGTTGGATAAGTGTTGCTCATTTTATTCGGTTTTCTTGTGTTTTGTATACTGTTGTATGTCTTTGGTCGTTTTTCGTTTTTTTTTGTCGGTTTGTCACTGACTTATGAGTTTGAATGTCCCTTTGGTATCATCCGCCTCTTTTTTGATCATAAATATACAGCCATAATGAATTATTGTTTCTTTCACTTTTAACATAAGGATATGATTTGATCAGTCACAATAACAACTGTATTAAACCACATTTATGCAAGAGTTAAATACAATACAAGATTGAGCCATACGCTGATATTTATTATGAAAAAAAAGTATCATATATTCAGTTTTTGTGTGGGTTAAAATTTATTAACAACTTATTTTTTTCCCAAATCGGAATTTAAACGAACCCTATTTGTTGTTTGTTGGCCGATGTTAGGTGAAAACTACCTACTAGTATCTCAAGTTAAAATGAAAATGAACTGAGTGGACGCTCACTTCTATTTTTGTGTTTGCTTGTCACTTTATGAAGTTTACCGTTCCCTCACATTTCAGTTTACTCCTTCGCCACTCTGTCACGATATATTAGACTGATTTTTTGCAAGCAGAAAATTTCAATAAACGAAATGGGGTATTCCTACTGCTACCGTCCCTGGTTTCACCTTTTCAGGTAAAAAATCCTTGATTCAATTCATAATTCGGTCACAATTATTCATGATTGAATTTAACTTAAGACAATAAGTAGAATTGCTTTACTATAACTTGTTAATTATACATGGTATTAACTTTTCAAAATGCAATAAAAATTAAAGTTATATATATTTTATCCCCCAATTTAATCGTCTTTTAACAGTATGTGGTATGTTTGTATTTAGACACAGGCACAATGTATGCTTTTGATAAAGAATGTTTCTCCGTTTTGATGAATAAAAGTCATGTACTTAAGTTTTTTGAAATAATTTTCTAAAAAAAATATATTAAAAATAAAATTTAATATAAAAAATTCTATTTATAAAAAATAAACTACGCAGCTTTATACAGCATCCTCTGTCAACCATATTTTTTTAGTTAAGATAAGTTACCGGAAAATAAAAACACCATATAAAAATGATGAACCTTCATAAATCAAAATATTTGAATTATTATGTCTAGCGGAAAACGTAAAAATAAAAAGTCGAATGACAACTTCATAATGAAATTATGGAAATGAAAATCCCACTCTGCCAACCTACAATCATTCATCTTCAATGTCATATAATGTTTTATCAAAATCTATGCATAGCGCAGACAATCATGCCACAGATCTAGATGAGTAGACAAATGTTTGAACAGGAAAATGCCTCTTCTCCCCCAAAAAACAGTCATATGCATGTACAGGTAAAGTTTGCAGAACAATGAAATAGAAAAATATTCTTAGATACTGGGCATGCGTTTCACATAAAAAAAAAAACAACTTGCGACTAAAATTGATCGTAAATATTCTGAATTGGACCTGGGAACAGTATATCAATATATATGTTCCTGATTGGACCTAGGCAGCTGAAATATTAAAATGTTATAATTGATTGATTTTGAAAGTTTTAATTATGACCACAGATGTAGTTCTAAAATTTACTTTAAATGTTAAAAAGTGTACATTTGTCAAATAATTGCTGAACAGATTTGTTTTTGTAAAATTCCCTAATAATGTTTGATTAATTTTAATATTTTAAAAATGTTGCAATTTACCTTTTTTCGAAATAAATAATTCAGCAGAAACACGTGTTTATTAAGTGAAATTTAACAATAAGTATCTCACAGAAGCATCTCATTTGACAAAACCATGACTGCCATTATTTTTTTCTGTTCATTATATTGCCCCTATTGACTTGAACAAATACCAAACACATTTTTTTCTGCAATTTATAGTCTTTATCTACTTTAACTGCAGGATTTTCAAATGCTTAATAATTTTGAAATAACATATTTTAGTAAATTCTGTGCAAAAAACTAAAGGAATCAAGAATTTATTTCCACACTATATCTTTGACGTGATTTTCAATATAGTGGAAATTAGACAAAATGACCACAAGGGGTAGTCTATCATAATACAAAATAGACTTTAGGTGGTGACCTTGATCGTTTTGGATACGAAACTACAGCATTGATCATGGTTGTAGCTCTGAATGACTAATTGACCAATCATCTAACGAGGTTGTTTACGTCTTGTTTTCCGCTATGTACATTGAAATGGAGGTAAAAAATAAGTATTAATTTATCAAATACACATTGGAATTCTTTTTTTGTGATGTAAAATTCGGTCAAGGTGATACTAGAATACTTGTGAGATTAATTTGGATGCTCGGTTTTACTGTGGACTGTGAAAATGATGGACATTTCCGGGCTTGTTTTGCATGGTTTTTCAACAAACAATACAGAAGTTCAAGGCCTATTTCATGGATAGTTGTACTGAACAAATTATGAAACATTCAAAACGAGAATTTCATCAAAATGTAAAACCAAATGATCAATTTTCTATTGGATTCATGTCTTTACTTTCATCGCAACATGCACATTTACATTTATATTTCTCATGGTCCAGGTTGCTGCCGTCATCACCATGTGTGAAATCATTCATCCAGATTCATTGATAAAATGACGATCAACAAAAACAACTGTGTATACTTATTAAATATTTGCATTACCAAATTCTGTGATATAGAATAAACGTTTATTTTTAACATTTGATAGACTAATATGAGATTTTCAATGGCTTCATTATGTATCATCATTTTCGTTTGTTGTGTATTGATGTCATTTGTGACAGGCCGTTTGAGTGAAGGATTCAACTCTCCACCAGCAACTGAAAGGGAAGGAACAAGTAAGTATTCCTTAACACTTAATTTAACATTAAGATCATTCTAGGAATGAACATGATTTAATCACTTTTACCAAGAGATACTTTTTAGTACATTATTACTTAAAGACTGTTAACTGTTACTTAAAATGTTTTTCTTTTACTTTTTGTTTTTAATTGATTGTGAAACATAATTCGAAGAAGTGACACAATTGCCAAACTACCCATGGAATCAGGGCTGTTTAGCTGGGATTCCTGTTTGTATTGTTAGTCATTTTTCCTCAATTCCCCTTTTCCTAGCTGGTCTTTTCTTCTTGATCCCTGTTTTCATCTTGGTTTTTTTTGTGTTTATATTTGGTCAAGAATATGATCTGTTAAGTTTTTATCTGTATTTGACCAGGAAGAATTATTTAGTATATGTGTAAAATATGAAAATTTAACCCCATGAGGGCAATATGAAGGTATTTTTTGTTACTTGCTCTGTGTGTTATGGCTTGACATACTTTTTGTTATCACCAGTTCCAAGGTATGGTAGTTAGGATGCACGGTAAATCCGGCCACACAAGGCTTTGATCGTATGTATTTCTGCTTAATTATATACAAATTGTATCAAATTTAATATAAATCAATTCACTGACAAATCAATTTTGAGTAGTTTATCTCATTTCCCCAAAAATATCTGAAATAAATTAAAAAAATCAACAAAACAAGTGGGTCATCTGTATTTTTATTGGAAATGTGTTTGTCCGGTAAATCCGCCCATGCACAGTTAATAGACCACTTATAAAGGGATTCAAGACAATCAGAAAAAATATAAATTTCAAGTCAGAAACGAGTCATGTAAGCAATAATATAATTATCATTAGCTTTATGAACTGTATTATAAATATCACTAGATATTTTGATATTAAAGGATTTTTCTTCAAAATTTGACATGCAGTGATGATACAATGTAAGTACAGTTCCTTTGAATAAAATAGCAGACGAAATAATCATGGAAGTGACAATTACGGAAGTAAATGGGACCGGGCTGGTTTACCGGATGGACGGAATTACCGGACACTACTGTAGTTGAACCTGTCATGTGACGTCCATCACCACATGAACAAAATATAGGCATCGTCATTTCCAACACATGTTGAGTGAACGGATGAAAAAGTTTGATGCTATACTGAACAAAATATTCGGGAAATTAAAATCTAATTAGTTGGTCACCCTCCGTTCAGTCATACAGAAATTGAGATAACGTCCTTACAGAACATACATTATTCCTAGACTATATGTACCAACAGAATGATGATCCTGAAAAAAGCCTGAAACTTTGATAGTGCAGGGATACAGGCACACCTTCTATCTGGTAAATGACGTCTAAAGGGCGTGCATTATTTACAATCTTTTCCAATGAAAGACATGATTCGAGAAAAAGCCTATTGTATAATATAAATCTTTCTAATTTTTTGTGTTGACAATAGATACATTGTATGATCTAGATATATGATCTAGATATTTTACTAGCTGGGGCTAAACAACTGCCTTTCTGGGCAAAATGACCTGGAACAAAACGACATGTACATGTTAAGGCATTCCAGTAAAAAAAGAATCTTATTTCACTTATTCCATGTGTGTGTGTTTGTTGTAAATTTTGAGTGTTCCTAATATAAATAAGAAGATGTGGTATGAGTGCCAATGCGACAACTCTCCATTGAAGTCACAATGTATAAAAAGTTAACAATTATAGGTCAAAGTACAGCCTTCAACACAGAGCTTTGGCTCACACCGAACAGCAAGCTGTAAAGGGCCCCAAAATGACTAGTGTAAAACAATTAAAACAGGAAAACCAACGGTCTAATCTATATAAAAAAGAGAAACTAAGTTCTTTTGTTGCCTGTAAAAAGAAGCATTCTTCATGTTGAATGATGTATTATGTACTAACCATTTACTAACAGTGTTTTGAATTATATATATAGATACATGTACATGTATGTTGAAATGACAGGATTTTAAAATTGTGTGCTATTTCATTTTTACATCAATTTTACATGTACATATTACGATGTAGTTGTTTAAACTTTAAAGTCATGTTTATCGGACAAAGTGGCATAAGTCAGACCTAAATGTTTTACTACTATGGTTGTTTAGCTTGTCGTACTGAGGATAATTTATTTTCGTTGGTACCAATTTTGAATTGAGGAAAAGTTGAAAACTTGTATTTTAGTGGATACATGTATTTAATTTTGCGGTTTTGTCAAAGTGTGCATATATTCCTATAGAAATTTGTAATTTGCTGAACATTTAAATAATTGGTTTCCCTATTCCCAGGAAATCCCCGAAAATTGGTAGCCAAGGAATAATATCGAATCCACAGTTCGTATTCAGTATAGAAAAATTGAAACAGAAATTGAAAAGTGAATGTCTTTATGATATTGAAAATCTCCCTAACATGCTTAATGGAAGAGAGAATGATATTGATACAGTTTGAATAATGTTGAAAATCTCCCTAACATGGAAGAGAGAATGATATTGATACAGTTTGAATAATATTGATAATCTGCCTAACATGCTTAATGGAAGAGAGAATGATATTGATACAGTTTGAACATGTTGAATAATACAGTACATGTACATTCTGTAAATTCAGAAATTATTGCATGCATTTATTATTGCCATTTTTAAAGGATGGACACAAATGAGAGATTAATTATAGAGATTTCAAGAAAATCTGCATACAGATATGTACAATAACATGTATGTATCAGATATCAGGATGCGAGTTCTTGTTATTGCTATACTCGCTCAGTCGCATTTTTCGCAATAATTTCTGAATTTACAGTAATCATTTTGTATTTATGATGCAGGTAGATGAATGTTTTTATTAACACCACTTTGCTATTACATTTTGAGCTTATTAAAATTTAGTTGGAATGCATATGCTGTACATTGTAGGTACATGTATAAACAAAACCACTACTTCATGTGACGTCAACAGTTTTCTGTAATTAAATACAATAAATTATGTGAAAAATGCTTTTTTTCAATAGGTAACTATAAATTGGGTGGGGATTTTTTTTGTGAGAAAGAAAAAATATACTTTACAAAACTGAAATACATTGTAAGAACATGTGTGACATGTAAAGATTATTTAAATTGAATTAGGCTTAGAGCATACATGTACATGTATCTACAATGTATATTGGTTGATTTAAATTTAATTGTACATGTACATGTATGTCTTCATACATTTTGTAAATTAAAAATGGAAAAAGGGCTGATATTTTAATGATATATTTACCTTGAAGGTAGAATTTGCAAATTATGCAATGCCGAAATAGAAGATGAGATGCAGGAATGTAGTAAAACTGAAAGGATCCTAACTTTTAAAAAAATCATTCGATAAACTTGATAATGTATCTTAGATTGATACAAAATAGATTATTTATTTAATTTGGTAACCATTATTACATGTAGTACAAATAAAACATATAATACATTTATTATATGTAAAGGAGATGTGGTAGCTATAGTATTGCCAATAAGACAATTGCAAGTACACAAATGCATCAAATAGAATCCAAATGAAGTGAATTTAAGCATGTATGCTTGTGAAATTAGGTAATAATTGGGGATTGTCATTTTGAATTTTTGAATAATTTTATGTAGACCTGTTAGGTGTTAATTGTATTTACATTGGAAACTCAAAAGTCAGATGTATAATGCTTATATCTTCATCATTTGAACTCTGGTGGATAGTTGTCTCATTGGCAATCATACCATCTCCTTATTAGTCCCCTACCGACGAAGTCAAAGGGGACTTTAGGTATGCACTCCATCCGGCTGTCTGTCTGTCTGTCCATCCGTCAGTCCGACAAATCAGTTTTCCACACTTTTTTTCTTCATGCTTGAAGATATTGATTTGATATTTGTGTATTGTATTATTAGACAAGTTACAGTTCAAGTTCAAATTATGTTTCGGTCTGATGATTTTGTGCAGAGTTATGGTCCTTGGACTCAGAAAATTCACTCAAATAATCAGTTTTAAACACTTTTTTTCATCATGGTTGAAGATATTGATTTGATAATTGGTCTATAGTTTTATCATTACAAGTTACAGATCAAGTTGGAATTTTGTTCTTGTATGATGATTTTGTGCAGAGTTATGGTCCTTGGACTCAGAAAATTCACTTAATTAATCAGTTTTAAACACTTTTTTTGGTCATGCTTGAAGATATTGACTTGATATTTGTGATATAGTTTACACCATGGCCAGTTATAGATTAAGTTAGCATTTTGTTCCAATACAATGAATTTTTAACCGGTAGGGGACTATGTAATGCCATGCAATACTCTCAGAATGCTTGTTTTAATATGTATTGTATCATCAATTGTCCCTCTTTAGGAATTATTGCTGTTAATCTATAGACCATTTTTACCCAATTTTGCATTTTTTGTGGAAGCTACGAATGTATTAATAGATAGAAACTGTAAACAATAAAATTGTTCAACACAAATACTCTACAATGTATGAGCTACAAAATTGCTGAAATTGTTAAACTTCTCATAGTTTATATTGTCTCTATATATAAGTTATAACATTTTTGCATTTTTGTCATAAAACTATCTATATTTAGAAAGAGAGAAACTCTAATTGGTAAAAATAATCAACAAAATAAGATCTGCAAATACATGTTTAAGCAATAAGGCCAAATAAATATATATGTTCAAGTTATCTCCTAAAGTTGGGGTTAAGCTAGGGTTCGTCGGGTAACTGTAACCACACATATATTTTTATTTGGCCTAAGGCAGGCTGAAATCAATTGACCACAATTAGGTGAAGGTATTATTGCCCTTGACAATTTTTACCAATTTTTGCAGTTTTTGCAGAAACTAGAAGAAATATTCAACTATTTCTGTTCGAATTAGAGGATTATGTTCTTGTTAAGGACGTTAAAAACTCATCATAATCAATGATTAGCAATACAAGATCTACATCAATGCAAAATTATTGAAACTGTTGGATGACTCGTTAT